AAATTATGTGTGTTGTCATATCAACTGTTTTTACATGCTTGAAAGAATAAATCAAATCAAATCAAGGTCACATGACTCACATCTGTCAGGGCCGCTCGGTGGCCGCTGCCTCTCCTCAGTTTTAGTTTCTGTTTTCTGCGTTTTACGGGCCCTGCACCTCAGCTGTGTTGCATTCCAGTAATTGGTAACCAGTTTGTCATCGCACACAGCTGGGGTGCATCCCGATGATTACTTTTTCCAGTACTTAAACCTCTGTCAGACGCTCCGCCGTCGCCGGAACATTACATTGTGTCGTGCATCGTTACACCGTACATAGCTAACATTAGCTACGGATATTTTGCACTACAGATGGGCCATTGTACGTATGTATACTAGGGAATGCTACGCTGACAGTGACTGTTGCGTTTTGGCTTGACTCCTTAGACACTACAGGCGCTATTCCCACTACACACACACATACACACATAGTCTCGTTTTCGTCTCCGCCTCTTTGTTACCTGTCCTGTTAGATTCTTGCCTGGTTTCCCCATCGTTAGTTTGTTTGCTTACCTGTTCGTCCCGGTCTCTTTTGTTGTCACTACCTTCCCTTTGTTGTACGTATTATGGACCCTGTATTTATTGTTACGTTGGCTTTGTCTTGTTTTTCCCCCCATTAAACCTTTGTTTTCCACTAGCACCTGGGTCAGCAATCTTGTGTCCTACCCCTAGTCCTCCCTCACCCTCCTGGCGAGGGGGGCTAACCCTAACAACATCTTTCCCATTCCTCTCAATTTGACTGGTTGGCGGAGGCATACAACTGTGAAGCAGTTCTGCTCTGATCAATGAATGACTGGGAATTAAGTGTATTTGGGAACATCTTTGTCTACAACAAAGTTTCTGAGCATGGCTCCCTCAGTACCAACTTCCCCAAACTAGATACACTCTCTCCCTGTTTTAGTTGTTTTGTTCTATGCATTCAGATAACCGATTAATGTTATGGTGTCCTCACCTTCACCTCTGCTGCAAGGATGGGTCAACTGGTCTGAGTAGGCATGATCAGAACCTCTTCATCAACAGTGGTAATGCGTGGTCTGGAGTGTCTTACTGATGATACCAGAAGACCCCTTTGCAATCTTCTCCAGCACTGTCTAAATTCCTAACTGTTAGTGTGTTGATAACTGTTGACTATGTATGGCTCTGAGTGTGTAACATCCCTATGTTCAACAAGGTAAGGTTCAATGTTGTTATGCTGATTTCACTTATCAGGCTCAATCAAGGTTTAGAGAAAGAGCTTACAGCAATGGGTTCCCTTAAGGCCAATTCCTGCTTTCTGCATCTGTGTCATGTTAGATTTCATCATCTTTCTGTGAGGATCTACACAAACTATGTGTTAACAGCACCCTGCAGCCTACAGATTGTCTGCACTGCAAGTGTGTTGACTGTGCATTATGCCACACAAGTAAACTACATGCTTGTTTTTGTGCATCATATGTATGTACTGTCAACTTTGACAGGACTTTTCCACTCAGTACCTATGCCCACTGCCAGAAAATGCACCGCCTTGAAGTATGTTATACTGTGAGTGTAGGCATAGCACCTTTTCTAGAATTTACATCAAGCAAAAGGGAGTCACATCAGCAGCATTTATGAATATTAGCTTAGAAGAAGATACCATTCACTACCAAGTTTTTCAAGGACTATGATTGCATCCATTCATGCAGCAAGCCGATTCCGATGAAAAACCCGAGCTAAAAGGATGGCATATTATGAATCAGCTTATTAACGTAGATAAAACTGTGACCCAGCTTGAGGATAAACTCACTGCATTCCAAAACAGAAAAACTCATATGTAGTAAAATGATAACCAGGTTTTAGAGGTTTAGAAAAACAATCTGCAAGTATGTGATGTAATCTGTGACTCTTACTCTGTGTGTGTGTGTATATTTATATTTAAGAGAGAGAGAGATCGTTAGATCTATAGATATAGATACAGATACAGATAAATAGAATTAGGCTGCTTGAATAACAGCAGGATAATAGCAGGTAGCATGACGTGTTTTCCCAGTGAGATGTATCTCTGGAAACGTCTCTGTTACGATTAGAGTAGCCAAATATGTGGAAATCTCCAAGCCAAACCAAAAAAAAAAAAAGACCCTTTTATTCTCATTGTCATATGACTGATCATAACAATGTCTAGCTCAGTAGTCTGCTCCTCTCCTATTTTAGACAGCAGTGACACAAAAACATGGCTTTTGGGAACCCAGTAAGGACGGCATCCAAGTGTCTGCATCTCTACTCTCACTCTCTGTCTGCCATCTGTATGAGTGTGCACATGGCTGAATGTGTGTGCTCTGAGTGTGTGACTCATGCTCAGCATGGCTGAGTGTCTGTGTTTGGCTGCCTGTTTATCTTTCCTCTCTCTCAGACATCAGCCTGAAGCTTGTTGTTTCAGCTTGGCAATGGATGCGGATGCAGCCTTAGCTCCTGTGAATGCTGGCGCCGGCTGAATCCCATCCACTGGATGCAGGTGCTACTCTGCTGGCAATAGCCTAAGTCCCATCTCTCCACCACTCCATGTATATCTGTGTCTCATCTGTCTTCTGATTTCAGAGGCACTGTCCATGTAACTGTCCTTTACACGTCTTGTCCCAACACATATTTTAGCCCAGGCGTGTCTTTTGGACTCATCTTGCCCATAGAGTTTCTTTTCTTAGTTTTTTGTTTCTTAACCTTTTTGTTTGTTTGTTTTGTGCTAACCTGATATTTTCTTATTTCTTCCTAGGCTAGACTTACAAATATTTGGGGTGCTATTATGTCTTTTCTGTATAGTTCTATTCTGTGATTATAGTTGTTTAGTCAAATGCTGCGCATCCAATCTAATTCACATGCACTTAATAACATATCTAATTGCAAAACTGAAAGTGAGCATTGAAAACCTGTTTTCCATAATATCTCCGACCTTTTAAAATAAAATCAAAACACCTCCCATTGCCCATATTCAGCCCCAAATAAGCTTTGGATCAGGATTTTTCCCTATGATTGTCTAGAATTACAAATATGGTTTACTGTTAATCAGCTGAATAATCCTTTAGCATGTATCCACCCTTAGATGTTGGAGAAGCAGGCTTGACTGCAAACTCACTGGTTCAAATCATCCCACACTCTTGGAAAATATGAACAGGGAAATTGGAGGTGAAACACTTCCAGAAAGTCATCAAGATGCCCTCAAGCAAATTATGTATCCCCAAACTGTTCCATTAGAGCTGCTCAGTGGTTAGTGGCAGAAGACACTGACAGCATCCAAAGGGAAAGGTGTGTGTACCTGCCTGTGAAAATCAAGAGGGGCACAGCCAAAAAAAAAAAAGCACTGTCAACTGACTGAGGTTGTGAGGATGAGATGAGTTTGTAACTTTTTACAAATGTCACTTTTGGTTTCATTATACAAATTTCCATTTCTCTACATGGTCCTTAAATAAGAAAATAGCAGTGGGTACAGGGAGTACAAATTTGATAGCTTCAAAATACTCTAAGTCTCTCTAAGTGGGAGAAAATAATGATTCTCAAACACAATGTCCTTTTAATGGCTGAGTCCAGAGAACAAGATCTCTTCATTTTAAGAGGCTGCTATTATTTCATAAACCTACCCTTGCAATGCCTTCCAAGTTTATATCAGAAAGCTTGAGCCCCACATTTAGGAAAACAATGAAGGTTTTGAGTAGCTACAGTTTTCAGTACTCGCAGAAGAATTGGGAGCTACCCAGATGCATACTGATACAGTTCATAATGCTTCCACTGTTGAGGCACCTATAGCCTGTCAGAGTTCCCTGCCAATTAACATTTACCTTGTCCTCACAAACAGGGTCCTATACGTGAACGCACATATACACTATCAATACATTCTACTAAGATGCTTTTTGCCGACTTATTTCAACTGTGTCCAGAAAGGTGAAAGACTAAAAGATACAGAGTGACTGACATAAAGGAAAGAGAAAAATACAAAAAAAAAAAAGACAAAACAATGACTTCTAATCTGTATTATACTGTCTGTTATGATATGATTTATAGTGATGACTGGTACATAGCAGAGTGAGTCATCCACACCATCTGCCCCTTCCTACTTCACCTCTGCCAGCATGCCTGTGTCTAGCTGTCTGTACTCTGTCTTTGCTTGCTGGTGCCCACGTTTCATCAGCACTCCTCCCAGGGGTGATAGATGGCCTATTCATGCTTCCCAATGACGAAAACCAGCTTCATCCAAGCCACCTCATTTCTCTAATATTATTAAATCCCTATCACCTTTCTTCTGACTCACCCCAGTCCCTTGTAACAAACATGACCGCTTCCCCAGTCCTATGGGAAAATGGTCAGTAACATTCATGGCACCTGATAAATTGCGCTATACGTCATCTTCTCCAATTCTCAACCTAAGCTCCTCCTTCTGTAACTGTAACTTTGCATTTTGAATCATCTCATCAACTCATCAAACATCTTTATTCTTTTAACTTACTGCTTTTTTGCTCTCTTTCCTGCTTTCATGATTATTTCCATTTTCATCTTTTCATCACCATTTTGACAGAATGCTCTTCTGAGCAGAAAAATCAAACTAGTTTAGATCATGCTGAATGAAAACAGTCTATCCTGACCTAAAGCATGGCTCGTCATTGATTTCTCTGTTTACTGTACTGTACACATTATTATTATCATCACTCTCATTGTATGAATTATCAATTTTATCTATCATTAATTTTGTAAAGTTATGTGCTGTCATGTGTGTATGGTGCCGTTTTAGAATTGGTATTGTGTGTTTTCTAACTGCAAGAGGAGGCCAAAGATGAATTTTCATAAAGCGGACAATGAATTTCTTTACCATAACCATATCCATATCCATAAAACATAACATGACAATAAAAACACTAACACTAAGCACTCTAAATTTCTCAAACATAATGAACTTGATGAAACTGCATTCTAGATTCATCACAGTACAGTATTTGAATCTATACTGTTACTGTTTTTTCTACCTGTGTAGACCTCTGCCTCCGTGGGATCATCCACTCGTTTATGCTGGATGATGTAGTCAGAAACCCTGCAGCCAATAAGAGGCTCCACATCCATCCACTCCAGGGCCACCATTGTGCTTGAGGGCTCCAGGTATGGAGCTAGGTGCAAACTAATGGAGCAACACAGAGAAGACAAGGTTTCAGATATGGAAATAAGATAAAATAAAACAAATGTGGTCAGAAGGTTGCCACAGCTTTTGTTGCCCTCATCTGGAATTTCAAATTGAATTGTGTGTGCGTGTGCCCAGTGTGTAAGCTATAGACCTGAGCCAAGACTAAATAAGCAGAAATCCTATGTAGTCACTGTTATGTTGAAGTAGAAACCCTCTCACCTAAGCCTATATTTCACTGGACAACAGGATAGCAAACAGCATTCCAATGCCACCTGTTCTCCAGCAGTGCTCCCTGTCCAGTTTTCTCTCTTCAATCCCTCAAAAGAGATAAAAGAACAATATTTCTATTTTGTCTACCCTCCAGCTGTCTGTGATAATGGTGTGTGAAATGTAGGTTATCCCTCTTTCATAAAACACATGCCACTCTGTTCTATAAACAGTTACAGACAATAATATTAAACACTGCTGGTTTTATTGTTATTACACTCTGGTGTTGGCTGGCATTTAGCTGCTGCGGTGACTCTTCTCTGGCCCTTTTGTGCCAGTATGTGTGGGCCCAGGGAGAGCCTGACCAAAACTCCTTTTTTTCCATTTACACAACTCCACAAACAAAACAGAACTAAAAGTACTTGTGCAATAAAAAATGTCACAAATACAGGTACTGTTAAAGATTTAAGAACAATCTCACAATGAGGTCCATTTGGTATCTGTTCTGGATTTGGCAAACCAAGTTCAAAATATCTTAATACACTGTCATCTTTGGTGTTGTTTGAATATGGACAAGGGCAGAGTGTTCAAATTTACTTGCAGCAGCTTTACAACCAGCTGACATTGACTTGCATTGTTATCAGATTTGTTATAGCATTACTGCCACATGGTGCAGAATTCATGAAACATGTTTTCTACTGTATTTGCCAATGTGTGTAGAACCTTTGCAAAAAATAATCAGACTGGGTGCAAATGTCATTAGGTTTTGGATCCCAGAATTCTTTCTTGGAGAAACTCTGTATTTTTATACTTGTTTAGTATTTATTGTTATTCCAGAGTGAGGCCAATAAATGTTGCCTCTCATCAATTCTGGAGTAATAACACTAACAGGCAAAATTTATTTTCATTTCATAAAGAAAGAGCCCACAGCATGCTTGTCCTTGTTTTCTGACTTATCAACAATGTTACAATGTTGAATTATCATCTTAGACGTGACCTAAACCTCAAAAAATTAGGTGTACATATGTTGTAGTACTTCTATGCAGAAGCAACTCAGTTTATACACGTCTCATAAACTCTCACTCGCAAGACTTTTTTCCCTGACAAAATAAAGTATTACGTGAAAGTTTGAGGCATTCCTTGATTGGGCATAATCTCCAGGCAGTCATACATTCATGTCAGCTTGCCTGATTTTTTGACTGTGCCCGGTTTTGTGGATATATTTTCCCTCCTGCTGCACTGTGACCAGGATGTGGAGAAAAATACAGGGCCTGAGGTTACTGCATGTCCAGGAATGTTCATGTACAGGGTCTCGCTGTATTACCTGACCAGGTCTAACCTATGACCATCCGGCCAGTGAAGCATGCTGGGGCGGTGAATGATCAGCTCTTTCTTTAACGTTAGAGAGAATTGTTGTAAGGCTGGAGAAGGTATGTCTGCATTATGCCAGTTAAAATATGGGGTTTCTCAATTACCCACTTTGTTTAGAGTGTTACACATCTCGTTTCATTGGTACATATACTGTCGTTTACCTGTATATGGAGAAGAAATTAAAATTCATTAATGCTGTTGTGGTTCGTTCTGCCTCCACTTTTGACACAACACTGGCAGCAGGAGGTGTGCGCATTCACAAACCAGTCTCTCACTTTTAGGAGGAGGCCCTCTGGTTTTATTGTTCTGAAAAAAATTGCAGACTATTTGAAGTTATGAGGGGTGCAAATATTCTAGACGTTCCCAAGATTAAACATTAAATGACTGGAAATGAGCACACCATGGGCACTTTAAATGCTTTCATTGTAGCCATGAACCCTTTCAACTTCCTGTTTCTCTTTAAAAGTTCTGAGGGCACCAATAGCTGGGGTGGATGACTCACATGTGCCTCAGGAGTATTGTTAGGACACCTTAAATGAGAGCATGTTCTTTTCAGAGGAGTGTAAGGGTTGACTGACAGCTATTAGAACTTTGGGGACTGTACTTGTGTCTGCAACTTTCAGATTCCTCAGGAGTCAGTAGAACCAGGTATGTGTGTATGTGCGTGCATATCCATGTGCATATGTGAGTGTGCCTGCAGTGCATCAGTGCATGCATCCATGAAATCTCTTGTGCATGAATTCCTAGGTGTCATGATGTAAACTCACACTTACATTGGCTGCCTGAGGGGACTGCAGTTGGGCAGGCCATCTTTGCTGAAGGCACTGAGGTCACAGCGACACCAGTTATCAATGACATCGCCCTTTCCAGCACACCAGTATGAGCTCATTGTGGCACTCTTGAAGGCCTGTAAAGGGTAACAGGTGAGAGAAATGCAATTATCTCTTGAAACATCTGCTCCCTGTCCATCTACACTTACCCCACACCCATCTTCCATCCCACCCACCTTCACCACTACCCTCCATATCACACACAGGCACATATCCCTGCACTTCTGTCCATACGATGACTAGCCACTGACTATATTCACCTCCTTTAGCCTATCTTCTAAAATTAACCATAGGCACTAATATGTCAAACTTCAGCCTTATTTTAATAGCCCCTTGAAGGAGTGAGGACTGGCCAAAAGGTTCTTGCTTTGCAAAAATGTCCTCTCTCTGAAGGTCCAGATCTCAAAATGGGTCTCATAAAGACAGAAGTACAGGTACATGTGCGCAGACACACACACACACACACACACACACACAGAGTGACCTTTTCATACCCGCCGTTCCCAATTACCGGAAGGCAGGAACATCTCACTAAAATTGACAAGCTTACACTGTGATATCATAGATGCACTGTGACTTCTATGATGAAGGTGTGAAAGCTGTGACACTCCCACCTCCTCCATTCTATGCATATGTTTGTGTGTATGTATGTGTGTGTGTGTGTGTGTGTGTGGATCTGTCAGTGTCGCTGTTGGTCTGTCTGTGAAGGGGGTGGGTAGTGAGATGTTAGGAGGTGATGTCATCTCCTAACATCTCCTTGTGCTGCTTCATTAACGGGCAAAAGAAAAATCAAAGGCAGAAGCTCAGTCATCCTCTAAAAGGCAGGAAAATGCCAATATAACCATCAAAGCAATAAAATATAATGTCAGGGCTTTCCCTTAAGCCACAGGCATGATAGACAATGAGTTCAAGGGAGTTCGCAAGCACTCTGGCTCCCCCTGCCACACTATGGATCAATGGAGCACTCAGTTATTTATGTGTTCTAACTGGTTGGCAGCACTGCCTCATGCAGACAACTTTGGAGATGTGCTTGATCATGGTCACAAAAATAGGACACTGGACCCATGCAGAAACATTATCACTGAGTACTAGGCTTCCAACAAAAATCAGAAAGCAAAAGAAATGATGAGACCACACACATCTTTAAAGACAACTGCACACGTGTAGCACGTATACATAAGCAGATACAAATAAGCATACACAAACACACACCCCAATTACTGACACATTTCCACAGTTGGTTGTTTCATTTCACTGGAGAAATGCCAAGGAAGATTTCTGTAGTGTGTTGATTAGTAAAAGTGACATTTGAGATGACTTTGGGCATAGTCCTGACCAGAAAGGCAGACAGCTTAGCCAAAAGAACAGTCAGGGTATGCACGTCGAAGCTGATGCTAGCACTTCCACAACACTGCATTGTTAGTTGTAAAGGAGGCTCAACAGACTTTCATGGGAACTGACTTCTTCCAGTACCACTTGCTTTCATTCAAGGCAAAGGATCTTGAGAATGTAAGTGACCTAAACAAACAGCAGTGAAGGATGAGAGAGCAAAGGAAATATGACAAAAAAAAAAAAAAACTGCAACATGAACAAAGAAACAAATGTGTGAAAACGGAGACTCCCAGCTCTCAAAGCACCCCCCACCTTACTGTGGGACAGGATCAAGCTCTTTCAGCAGTCAAGGCTTACCAATTATTTATCCTCCAATACAAACCCTTCTTAATGAACCTGCTGAATGAGCAGTTATTACAGAGGGCAGGCAAGAACAGTAATCCACAGTCATATAATAACACCTTGGAAAATCAAAAGGTTATGACATTTCCCATATGGCTAGGTGCTGCCAGAAAACAATAGCAGCAGGGATCTTGCCACCTCATGTCAATGGGAAGCAGGCCACAGACCTAGACTCAAGGTCTATGCACACACACAGACTAGACAACTACAAGAAATGAGAAATGACCTTCGCTGCTGGGGGCAAAAGAGAGAAAGACCACAGAACCGCCATGCATTTACCACCACCAGATTCTAAGAAAAATTCCCTTATGGGTCTACACGCTTGACTGCATGGTTGCACATGTGAAAAATAGACAAAGCGATTACCGCCGTGTTTATGTTTGAAGAGTAATGCAAGTCGGTCTCCACTGGGTAAACAGGGAATCTAATTGTGGTTTACAGAATAAGTTGGGGGGAATAAACAGAGATGAGGAGTCAGAGAAAAGCAAGAAAATGTGATAGTTATCTAACACATGTAAAAATCTGATATGGCAAATGGGTGGCAGTGAAGACAGCGATATATTCTTTAGTGAGATGAACAGACACTGAAAGGTCCAGGAGTGAGTACTTCTGTGTTCAGTGCCATTACTGGATAGGTCTTATCTGAAAAGAGATAAATACTTTATTGATTCACCACAGATCATGCATCATATACATTCTGTGTTGGGCAGAGAGAGGTACAAAACAAACCAAATCCATTATGCTTCATATAAGAGAAGCAAGTGTTTTGACAAAGAAGATCCTATCTCAGAGCTGACTGTAACAGTGTAAGACATTTTTTGTGCAGTCATGACAGATTCACTTTCAGGAACTGGCTATTCCCCCCTATGGTTACAATAACACATGGTTCTACCATTTCACCAATATGCCACAATTCATCTCCACTGACCTTATCAATACTGAACAAATTGAGCTGAAATGTAATCATCCCCCTGCTTAGAAACAGAAGACAAGATCAGTGAACAGTAAGGCTGCTGAGCATCAGCAACAACTAGTGCTGCAGATTTCAAGCCTTGACGTCATTTAGACCCTGCAGAATCACTGGCACCAAAGTAATATTTGGATCTTTTACTTTGGTAGAAGCCTGTCTTGACTTACAAGAAGGCAAGAGAGGCCATTGTGACCTCTTCAGTGTATTAATCTATTTGTCTAGTCTAAGATGACCACATTACTGTCTATCTTCAGAGGCTAATACACAAAAACACTAGCCAGCTGGCCCACAGTATTGATTTATAAGATGATCACCAGTGGTGGTAAAGAGTCTAAGTAAGCACGCACAGGACACCATCAGTGGTGACCTGTGTGTGTGTGTGTGTGTGTGTGCGTGTGCATGCACACAAATGTGTTTATGTGGATTTTCCAATCATTTGGGGCTAATGGTGTTAACAAATGAACCAATAGGCTGCTTCTAGGAACCTTATCGGAACTCATACTTCCAGGAAATTGGACACCGTAGGCAGCTGGAGTGTTGGTTCACCCAGAGGTTCATGGGGATTGCCGTATCACTGGACCACCCTAAAACAGCACCTATTGGATTTTAACTGTGCCAACTCTGTGGATGTTCTAAGATAATTTGACCTGACATCTCTAGTAATGTCAACTGACCTGTTTGAAAGGGAGTAGAACAAATAAAATGTGTTATTAGCCAACCCTGGAATATCCCTGAAATAGGAATAACCTATGTTTAAAAATTTACAAAAACTTTGATTAATCTAATGAAACAGTGTGTACACGTGTGTTTTCACACACTTGGTAGGTAGGTAGGTAGGTAGGTACTTTATTGATCCCTCAGTGGGGAAATTTCAGTGTTTCAGCAGCAATGGAGAACAAACAACATAACACCATGAGAAACAAACAGCAAACACATATCTTGATAAACAAATTTCAGTACCTCAAGCAAGAGGTACTGAATTTACATATGGGCATATGTTGATTATTTAAAGTAACAGTTCAGATGAAAGGTGAAAAATAAGAGAACAAAGAATGTGAGAATTTCACAGGGTATCAGGATGAACGTGGGGAATGACTTCTGCAAGCAAAACCTGTGTTGAGGTTAATATAGTCAAATGACTTTTGCTTTAAGTAAGACTTAAAAACTGCAGCCATATCCTCTAATGGAGTAGTTATCAAGGCTGTCATGAACCCATTCAATGTCAAAAATAGGCTAGATAAATAACAACATGGTAGTATTAGAAAACCTGGGATTTGGTGTCAGTGCAGTCCATTTGGTTGTTGTTTTGTCTGTAACATGAAGTTCATACTACTGTAATTCAGTCTCTATGGACCTAGTACATACTGTCCCGAGATTTTAACATCATAGGAGCTCATACACTATGTGGTACTGATGTTATGTTCCTGGAATCCAGACTTTTTTTTCTTTGTGTTTGTGGATTGCAGTACATTGTGTGACCTGCTACATTAGGCTGTGTTGCAGATTATTATCTAGAGTTAGCAGCAGCAGCATCCAGGATGTGTGGCTTTTCACAAATGCTGTATTCTTTTCAAATTACATGGATGGAAAAATGCTAGTTCTAAGGTACCGCAACACTAGGCATTTGTTACCATGTTTACTCCAATAACTGCATATAGTACTGGTTAAAAAGGTCCCCTAAAGGCAATCTTCTCACACCTTCTACAAACTACAGTATCTGCCTTGCCCTTATATGTTAATTTTGGTGTAAATATGTTGTTGCTATTTTACTTTTGTGGCCCTCCTGACCCCAGTAAAACAATTCTAGACACACCCCTGTGAGGAGTCGAAGTTGTACGTTATAATGAGAGCATGACAGCAGTGACTTGGCAAGATATAAACCATTCTGACCCATTAGACTCACAAATAATTTGTTCAAAAGGTTTGCCATAATTCAGTCACAGCAGCACAGGACCACTGGCAAGCTCCACAGCCGTAAGAGTATTTATTTATCCAATGAGGTATTTTTCTATGGCACTAAAACAGGGGAGTATTTGTGTGTGTGTACAATATTTGTGTACACACATGAGGCCTGTGAGCAAGACCACCTTACCGTAGTCAAGTCCAAGTCAGTTCCAAGACTGGTTCCAGTTGAACTCAAGTCAAGACCAAGTTTAAAGCACGCCAAGACCGAGATCAAACTAACTAAGTACTTAATACAAAGACATGGAGGGAGTAACCTCAAACCCTCCCCTACAACTGCAAAACATAATTATTAAGTGCAAATAGCTATCCATGAAACAGAAGACTGCATGGACAAGTTTTAAAACAGTTATCTACATAGGTGAGTGAAGTGGAATACATTTTTATATTGTTTGGAAAAAAATCAATCAAAAATAATATAATATAGATATTTTATTCACTATTCTAAAAGGGTTAGTTGACTGAAAATGAAAATACTATTTACCCAGATAGTTCCAGTAGCATTTGCTAAGGTTTAGTAACAAACATGTAATAAAAGATAATAAATATAAATGGATTTTTTTACTGAATTATTTTTCTTACTAAAGAAACAGGACCTTGTTTTTGGAGAGTGATTTTTATGTCACCTTTCAATTGTATTTTGGTGGGTATAAATACAAAATATTAGCACTGGAAATCACAAGAACCTGGACAAATTAAACCAAAACTATCTGCACTGAAAAATACTGAAACAGATAGGTTTTTCTCTATTCGTGTCACCAACTCTTGTCCTTTAACATGTTTTTAGGAGAGAGTCGGGTAACTATGCAGCACTGGCTGACAGGGTCAGTCTTCTAGGTATTATTTTCCCCAAATCCTTGTCATTGGTAATGTCAGCACTTGGGACATGTACAAAGAAATACTTCAGTCTTCATTCTTCTTTGACAGAGCCAAACAGAGCAAGCTAAGAAGAAGGCAGACATGTTAGTCTACTTTTCCAACTTTTAATTCTGTTTCTTTTCCATCCTGGCTGTGGGCGCTGTTCAAAGAAGGGGTAATTTCACATTGTAACAAAATCCCACTCTGGCTTCATAATGAGGAGATTGATATGAAAGGGACATGACATGTCCTGTCAAACAGTCAGGCAGCCAGGGAGAGGTTAGGGAAAGTTTTGAGAAATGAGGGAGGAAGGGGGGCAAAGAAAGAGTGGCAGGTCAGTGTTAGCCAGGTAGTGGGCATACACTGACACATGCATACAAATAGGTATACATACATAGGTATGACCTCAGTGCACCTAATATTATGCTGGAGAACTAAGCTTCTTTTATGATTGCTTCAGTGGATTTAAAGCTAGAAAAAAAGGAACCTCATCTCTGAGAAAGCTTTTGCAACATGGCAGCTGTCTTTCCAGATAGATCCAGCCAAGCAAAAGTGTGTGACACACACACACACACACACACACACACACACACACATATATATAAAGAAAGAGAGAGGGAGAGGGAGAGAATGAGTGGCTGTGTGTGTGTGGAGGGACAGGTTGTTGTGTCACTTGTCTCTAATGCAATATACGTATGTGCCTTTTATATTAGCAACAGCAGTTGCAGCCAAGAGAAGAAAAGAAAGAGGGAAAAGAGGAGCAGAGTGATGGACTCCCCTCCCTCCCAAGAGGTCGATGACATCAATAAGAAGCTAATAATCCTGCCTCAAGCTACCTCAGAAGGGCTTGCCAGAGCGATCCACCGCAGTCTACCCCTTCTCCTCCTCCTCATACATCTCACTCTCTACATCTCTAAAAGACCATGGGTTGGGTAGGTGGAGACAGAAGGATGGATAGCGAGGTGTTTGGAAGGGAGGGAAAAGAGACATTTTAGTCTACCTCACATTTAGCTATTGATGAGGCCCACTAGAGACTGTCTGCTATTGATTGAGCCTTCTTTTCTTTGGGGCTGCGGTGCTTGTTATGGTTGTTATGGGTGGCACGTACAGGGGGCTTGTTGTGTGTATTTATATATGCATATATATATATATATATATATATGTATATGTATGCATGTGTGTGTGTTGTTATTGCGTGCACTAA